AAATATATTAAATGTGTTCATGTTGTAGACAATATCAGTATTCAAAAGAACATAGTCCCTCTTAAACAAGAGTTAAAAGAGTGTAAAATGTCACAAAAATATTTTGGGATCATGAAAACAAAAAAAAAGCGATTGCTATTTTTCCTCTCTACGTAGCATAAATGGCATATTATACTAAGAAACCTGCTTCACAAAATATTCAAAATTGTTTGGAAGAATAAAATCACGTCTTTTTGCTGACTTTTCTAGAGCACCATGTTCTAGGTTGATGTTGATTCTAGGTCACACAAAGATAACTAGAAATCTTCTTAAAGGAAACATATATCTTTGAATCTTGATTAAACGTAACCGTTGAAAAAGAAACCGACAAGACGAAAAAATAAATATCCGGTTGCTGGGTAATTGTTTATTACTGTCAAGAATATAGATGAAAGATTTCTTCATCAAAGAAAAAAAATACTGTAGAATTTAAAGAGATATTTTTAATTGTTGTATTTATCTATTCTTTTTTTTTGATTGAGATAGATTTTAATATTAACTATTTATGAAAATAAATAAAATATATATATTTAAATTTTTCTCATTTTTATTTTAAATTTTCATTAAATATATTATTTATATTTGAGAATAATTTTTCGTTAGTTTGTTTTTTATTTTAAAAATATTTCATTATTTTGTTTAGTTTTTTAAGAATAAATCAAGGATGCTCTACAGTAGCGAATAACAATATTATCGTCTTCCATGACTGAATAGAACAGAGAATAGAAAAAAATATATAAGAAGAACGAGAAAAAAAAAGAAGATGTTCTGTGCAGGTGTCGAACCTGCGACCTTCTGCGTGTTAAGCAGATGTGATAACCGCTACACCAACAGAACACTGATGTCTATATCTTATTTTTGAGTATATAAAGAGTTAAAAAGCAGCATTATGATATTTATTCATATTATTGAATAGAATTCGATTGACTTGATGTTTCTGTTGTGTTTTTTTCGACTGCAGTTATATTTGATGTTAATTCATTGATAGAATGTAATTCATTTTGTTTTTTATGTTTTCGTCGTCGTATAAATGCTTTTATAATACATAGCAAAATCGTTGAAAAAATTAGACTAAGAAAAATACTAATCACTATTTCATGAGAAGAAATATTACGTTTAGATATGTTTTCATTATTAATTGATGTATTGGATATTATATCATATAAATCAAATATATTATTTATACTCGATATGAATGAAACATTGAGGAGAGCATTAATAATCGTTTTGTTCATCGTTTAAAAAAAAACAATCTTATGGTCGGTAATTTAATTGAAAATAAGAATAAAAAAATACTATGCGCTTTTTCACACATTCGATTAATATTATTAGATGTTTGTAAGTTAAAAGATTGACAAAAAATGTACATCCTAGTCCAAGTATCATTAATAATTCGTCATTGTACTATAAATCTACGTTTATGATGCAGAAGTAAATTTACATGAGATCCCACATTAAAGTTAAATCTAATTAAATAAAAAATTCAAAACTATTGCCATTTAATGTTGAAAAAAAAATCTTTGATGTGTATTTGTACTATGTTAATTATTTATACAGTTTTCTTATACGCAAGGTCACACTTAGAAAATTTGAGACTTGTTTATTGTTTTATCCATGTCATATGATATATCTTAAGCGGTAGCATTCATTGAGAAAACAAGATGATGCTTTCTTTTTTACTCTATTTAGTTATGCTAAGATAAATACGTTTCATATATGCAAAATAATGCAAAGTTCAGATTCGAATTGTATGTCTATTCGATTCTTCGATTTTAGAAATGAGTCATTTATTATACAATAAACGCAATTTAACGATAATTACGACATGAAATTTTGTATTATGTTTGAACGAAGAAAACTAAACTTGTTGAAGATACTCTATGCCCTTATTATTGTTGTGAAACACACTCCTTTATACATTTTTTTTGCCTTTTTGTTGACAATAAACTTAAAGAAATAAAACGACAAATTGTTCTTTGACTTATTATTCGTTGCCATAGTGAAATCAGAAAAAAAGATGAAACTCTTCTATTTGTTCTTATTCTATAAAATACGTATCATATGAAAAACAGACATAAGCTATTGCATCGCTCAATTATTTTGCCCTCCTTTACCTCGTTTTTTTCTCATTCAACCAATGAAGAATTCTCAATGTTTCTTTTTTTCAAAAGAACTTATGGTACAAGAAGTAAAGGGAAAAGAGTACATACCACAGTCGCATTCTTTTCTTTAACAATCATTATACAAAGAAAGAATCATTTCTATAAATAGTAATGTTTTTTCTGTTGTAGTTTCATTCATTTTATACTTTTATTATAACAACGCACTTATTCTTACTGTGTACAATATCTAAAATATTATCAACATGTCTGAAGGACCAAGACAAACTGCAGATAAACAGCCTGGTGATCTACGACCAGAAGACCCATCTCATCCAGGCATGTCATCTGATCCAGCTGAACGAGGCAGACAACTCGGTCACGAAAATGCGCAGGGTGGTCAAAGTGTAGGCACAGGTGGACATGGTATCAGTAGCGGTAGTAGTAGTAGGCAGTTTGATGAGTTTAAATTAATAGTTTTTAAACTGTTATATACATTTATGTTTATAGACAGTAGTCAACCTGTCGGTGGAAAGCACACATCAGATCCGTCTCAATTCAACGAAGAGGTATTACATCCCGGCATGAATCCTGATCCTGTTGAACGGGGCAGACAATTAGGACATGAAAATGCATCTGGCGGCCATTGTGTCGGTACAGGCGGACATGAAGCCAATTTCGGCCAGTAAATGAAGATGGCAAGCAAACACTAGTGTATAACAAAATTTATTCGATCGACGTTTTTTTTCCTTATGTTATACGCACTGTATATATGATTTTTCTTTTCTTATAATGTTTTATTTTGTTCATTACCAAACGTAAACAAGCCTATACACAAATATCACGTGAAATATGTGTTACATTACCTTTACTTTTTTTTTGTATTAATTCCATTTTTGATAAATTTGAATGCAAATAAAAATCAAAAACTGAATGTGATGAAATTTCCATGAGAAGTTTGACATCGACAGACGATAGAATCAGTTATGGTTTAGCTATAAATTTAATAAATATATTATATTTTTCGGAAAATTTTCTTTTTCTTTTTTATTAGTATAGTCCTTGTTGAAAAAAAAATGCGAATTCACACAATAAAAAAGTCATCTAAAATTACAAATTATCATTAGCTGATGCAGATTGTGAAGATGTTTTCGAAACATTTGTTAGAAAAGTCTTTTTTATCAGAAAACCCAAAATAGCTGTTACAAAACCAGCACCAAATAAAATAAGTAACAAATATAATGGATGTTTCCAATACGACCAAACTTTTGGGGAAAAAAAACCAAAATCAACGAAAATAAAAGCCAATAGACCTGGTATAACTTGTACAAATAAAATACGAGGCGATGCTGTTAATGCACCAAATATACCTGCTGTAAATACAGCTGCCGAAAAAAACAACATTCTATCAGGATTTAATTCTGCTAGTCCCCAAATAAGACCAGCAGCAAGAAGAAGATTGTAAAAACCTTGATTGGCAGCTAAAGTGCTGCCAACATCAACAGTTGATTGTGGTAATCGAAATATTTTAGCTGCTCGTTTTCGCCAAAGTATTGCTTCTAATATAAATATATAAATATGTATTGCAGCAAGAATACCACAAAAAACACAACCCGTTATAGCTAGACCCTGAATATAAGCATTGAGTGCCATATTCCCTTTTTTTTTGATGACGTGTTTAAAAAGAAAAACAACTAATGCAAGAATAGAGTACGAGTATCTATTGTACGTGTTGGATAAAAATCAAAGAAGAAAAGATTTTTCTTTTTTCTTTTTACCCTCAATATTGACACTGATATGCGTGTGACGTAGATACATAAGTCAACATTTTTTTGCGTTCGAGGTTGACGTAATATGTATCTGATAAGATTACTGTGCATATATTCTGATCAAGTAAAACGTTTGTGATCTATCAATCATCTCACACAGAAGTGTAGATTAACAGAAATGTCTATTTATTTGATCACCTGGCATAGTTTATTATCATAAATAAATGCAAAACTTGTTTTCTATTATTGCAAACATATGACAAAATCAATTTTCAATCTATTTATTAATATATTTTGAACTTTTTCATAAATGAAAAATTCTCTTTAAAATATTTATTTAAAACTTAAAAGAATACAAGAGAAAAAAGGCAAACGATTATTTTTTGCCAGCACATCCACCATTACCACAATTAGTAGTTCCACTATTAGTACAACTTGGACATCCTACCGAACCACCATTAGTATTTCCACCGTTAGTATTTCCATCGTCAGTACTTCCACCACTAGTACTTCCACCATTAATACAACTTGGACATCCTACGGAACCACCAGGATTAGTACCACCATTAATACAACTTGGACATCCTACGGAACCACCAGGATTAGTACCACCATTAATACAACTTGGACATCCTACAGAACCATCATCAGATCATAAACAAAACGAGACTATTTATATTTAACACAAGCAATAAGCCGACATATGTTACCTGGTACAAGTGTTAATGGTGCTCCGAAACAATGTTCTGGTGTACGACCGCAACTATTAAAAAGAAATAAAATACAAGTCTTTTGGCTATTCTTAATCAACGAAAGGTTTCTACATACAATCCAAATCTTGAACAACAAAGACCAGGTGGACATCCTGTTTGTTGACAATTTCCTTGACCAATTGTTGGATCAATATTACCACAATGTTCAGGTGTTGTACCACAACTATTATATGCAATAACAAATAAAAATCATCGATAGGATATTGAATTTTTTTCTCTTACAATCCATGAGCACTACAGCATTGTCCCGGTGGGCAACGTTGAGTCTTACAGTTTCCATTACTTAATGGTGTACCATCACAATGCTCAGGTGTATTTCCACAAAAACCAAATTTCGAACAACATAATCCATCAGGGCATCCTCTTCTTTGACAATCACCTTGTGTTATTGCTTCTTGACAATGTTCGCGTGTTGCACCACAACTAAATATATAGAAAAAATATTATATAAAATACAAAACGTATACTTTCTAAAATTCTTTACTATCCATATTGTGAACAACATTGACCAACTGGGCATCCAAATATAAAGCATGTTCCACAGCATTGTCGTTGATCTAAATTTTCAATGATTATAATAATAAGTAAAATTTTATTAATTAACAAACTTTTTCCTGTAATATTTAAAGCCATTGGTTCGACAAATGAAACCATAGCAAAGACAAGAATTAAACCGATCATTTTGTATAGGAATAAACTGATTTTAAGTAACTAACATTTACCTTTTTTCGTTGTCTTATATATAGATTTATTATTCACGAAACGATTAACTAGATGAAGAAAAAAATTAATCCGACCTTTAAAAAAGACGACATGTTTTCTTTTTAGTATAATATTCTATATCCCACCAACGCTAAAACAAAAATGGTTGATAGTAGGAGAAGTCATGACTAACGCACTTTTTATTGTATTTTTTTACCCAATATTGATTGATATAAAAGAAGATACAAAAAATGAAAATGTTCTTGTTCTTTTTATATAAGATATATGCGCAAAAGCATTTGTTTGCAAAATAACTTCGAAAAATTAAAACACATGTATCTCGAAATAATGAACTTTCATAAAGCCTATCTTTACATGTAGACATTGGCCGGTGTGAATGAGTGATGCGTGGGTATTGATATGGAATAGAAATCTTCTTTTCAACTATAACCACACACTATAATTTCTTGTTAGTGTATTTGTACATCTGTGACTGTTTTGCATGTATTAAAATATTTTCATTTCGCTGGTTGAGAATTTCAAAATAAAATTTTGTTGATAGTTTCATATGGTTGACAGTTTTTTGGTTCGCCATTTTTTTCAGTCAAATCAATGCCTTTCCTGAAAAAAGTCTATCCGTATCCTGACCGACCTTGTAGAATAGTTACCCTTGCCTTATCATACGAAGTTTTTATCTCACTCTTCCTTACTACTACTGTATCTCGAAGACTCTAAAAATGATAAACAGTAAAATAGTATCACAGTAGAAGTGTAAGATGGTTAACTTTTTCCGTACTCTGTGCCCTGACTGAGAGAAACTTGCTAACCCTACCCTGCAGAGTAGGATTTACCTGTAAATCTCTAGTTACATGTTTTTTTAAGTTACTCTGGACATTCTGAGAAACTCAGTGCTAAAGACGTTCGTTCAGAACAATTATCAGTAGCAAAGCCCAGCTCTAGCGATGTAACATAAAAAAGAACATCGACTTTTGACTTCATGTGCTTTAGTTTTAAAAAAACCCGAATAATGGCAAAACTAAACAGTAGATTCTGTAGATAATTTTTGAAGCTACAAAAATCTCTATCAAAAGTTTTTTTCTGAGCATGCTTAAATTTTTCAAAAAAGTCAATTTACTTTTCGTTAGTGATGTGAAGAAGTAGGAATATACAAACGAAAAGAAACTCTTCTATAACTGAATGAGAAGTTCAAAAGCAATTCTTAATGGTACAAATTCTTCTTCAGAGTCTCTAAACGATAACAAGACACAAAGTTTTGTTTCGAGACTTGAAAGGCCCTCCAGAAAACAAACTTTTAAGAGGAAGTTTCTTTGAGTCCGATCTAAAAAAATATTTACTTCTTACTTTGTTAATTAATGATCAACTATGAAAGAATCAACATTTTGATATAGATCTATGCTAAAAGAACTTATTCAAAAAACAATAACCTTTGTTAGCAATTAAAGTCAAATTGTAAGTGGGTTTATGTCGAGTTATGCCAAAAATAAGTCTTGTATATATCAAAAATATCTTATAAAGAATTGATTATTTTTATTTATAAACAACAGAAAGAATTTTTATTTAACATGATTTGTAAGTTTCTGAAAATATTGAAGACGATCAAATGTATTCATTGAATTGAGCTGAAAAAAAACAATGAAAATCATTTGTCTTCCAGATTTTTATTGAAACATCTAACTGACCATTTGAGCATCGTTATCGTTCAGTGTTAAATTACCTTTAGCCAAATGTATATGAAGTCCAGCTACAAATTCCATGTCACCATCAATACATTCAGCTGCATCGAATGAAGTCAATAATATTTGATTATTATTTTTATTTCGTTTATTTTCTCGTCGTTTTATTTGATGATGAATATAACGACGATGATCTCTAAAGAAAAAACAAACAGACACGTAGGATTGTATGAAAAGTTTATTTTCAATATATATACATTTGTCGTTTCCATAAAATAATGAAAGCAATAAGGCAAATAATAGCAGCTAAAATTATTGATATAATTGGAAACCAATCGATGACTTTTTGCGGTTTTTGTTGAATACCAACTAGTTCTTCTGTGTCTGAAAAAACAAACACGAAGTTTTTTCAAAAAGAAAAAGACTGGATTTTAAATTTCAGAACTGCTTTTTAATTTTGTAATTGTTAATATTGGTGTCGATGTGTCTAGAAACAAATAGTCATCATTATTTTCATTCTCATCAGATGAAGATTGTTTTCGATCATAATTATATTGTTGTAAGTTTTTTAAATAATTATTGAGCATGGATATTCAATATGATGATCAATACGTCAAATAGTATACTTTTGATTCAAGTCAAGTGTTCTAGAGACTCTATACACAATGATCTTAGCATAGTTCTTGTTGACGTTTCTATGAAAACTTACAAGAAAAAAATGTGAATTGTTGATGAACAACTGATTGGAATTTAACCATAAAATTATTAATGATGCCCAAAGGAATAATTTGTTTGAAAATAATATTATTTATAAAAGAATAAAACATCATTCCTTCTTTTATTCAAAAAAAAAGTACCCAATATTAATCAAACTTTGATTGATTTATTACAAATAATCAATGTACCTGCTTTATTTTTATGTTTCAAAGATTTATACCTTCACAGTATCAGTATGTTGTAATGTATGTCAATTTAACCATCTGTTTTGAGTATTCTAGATATAATAAATTATTGTTACAGTTATAAGCGCCAAATTTCTTTGAAAAAATTAAGTCAGTCTCAATCATCAAGAGAAGAGAAATTTAAAGTTTTAGATAAATTAATACTATTTTATACTAATGAGGTAACCTTTCCACATGTCAAACCGATTTTCGATCGAAACAATGTTCACTTGATGAGTGCTAAAGAGGAACAAAAGATTAGTTGATTGTGCAACTAGTGTTTCCTTTTCGAAGATGTAAATATATGAAAAAAGTTTACTCATACACAGGAGAAAATTTTGAATATTTCAAGATCGAACCCATGAAAAAAAAATATATAAGAACAAAAGAACAGCTCAGAGCGCGTTTTTCAAATAATAAAACACGTTCTGAAGATGCTTTTTGCGTCCTATTGGAACGCCTTCCGTTGATGTCAGAATGGCATTTTCACGAGAAAATCGCATTTTGAAGGTAGCACAACATTAACACATTAGGAACGTTCGAACGTGTTCTATAAGGAACGGGTTTCATCGATGTGGGATACGTTCAATAAGAATGGATTCGAACACGTTCCTAGTGGAAAAAGAACGCGCTATTTATCAAGGTGAACCAATTGTCATTAAACGCGTTCCTATATGATAAAAACCTATTCCTTCCGGAACATGTCCGAACGTATTCTATGTCATCGCATTCTGCTATAGTCAGAACGCATTTTTTTGTGCAAAAGCTTGTTCTCACATTTAAAAAAACATGTCTCAATAGAACACAAAAAATATTTGCAGGGCGCGTTTTGTTATTTGAAAAATGCGTTCTCAACTGTTCTTTTTCATAAAGCTTTTCTCGTGGGGAGATACTAAAACAGTTACAAATTGTCCAATGAAGAAATATCATTGAGAACTTTGTTCGTGCAATGTTTGAATTTGGAACTCGAAAGTCGATTTTTCACGTGATCATTGGTTTTTTTTTTTTTAAAGTCCAGTAAAATTTCGATATCTCAGGAATGAAATCTTGGAAGACCAAACCATTCAAAAGCTTTCTATAACTCACTAGTACTCATCAAATGAATATTATCACGGTCGAAAAGCAATTTGACCTCTGGAGAGACTCTCTTTTTAAGATATTACAAATTTTTGAATGAAAATTTAATTTATCTAAGTTTATAATCTGAAGTTTGATATTTATTTTTTATTTTTAAACGTACATAATGCTTTCCTTTAGCATTTATTTTAATTGTCACAATAATAATAAAAATTTCTTTAACCACGATGTTTTAAACGTCGATAGCAATTGAGCATTTCAGTAACAAGATCAAGTTTTGATATGTTTTTCGAATGTCTCAAGCGTCGAATACATTCGAGAACTTCTGTTGTTGTCCATAAAGCATCACGTTTAGTTATATGATTTTCATTTGGATAATGTATCATACGAGTTAAAACTTCAGATAATGGTTCTTGATTATATTTAAGTGAGAAATATTCATTGAGTTTAGCTAATTGTTCAGAAGTAAGTGATTTTTTTTCAATATTTTCCTCATGAGAATCATTATTATCATCATCATTAGAGAGCCTATATAATGTAACCGTTTGGCAAACTACCAAAATGATTAGAAGAACTAGATATAAAATAAAAATGAATGTTTATTAAAATAGAAATGAATGTTTATTAAAATAATTATGTTTAATTTACATACCAAACCACGAGAATTTCATTAACATGAGTTAGAAGATATACGTGTTGACCGAGTCAGAAAAAAAATAAGAATGTTTATGGAAAAAAAAGATAGATGCATACGTATATATCAAAAAAGCAGATATAGATAATATAATGTCTTCGGTAGTTGTAGCCCTTCTGTTATTGTATCTTGTTTAGCATTTGTTGTTATCGTACGAAATGATGATAAATGAGTTGAAATATCAGGAGTTGTTATCGTTATAACTGCTATTGTTAATAATAGCCCATGTTGTTTGATTGAGTGTCGAGACTGTTTGACACCAATCAACACCAGTACTTTGACCAATAATAGCATCAAGTAAATAAGAAATAAGACTACCAACTGTAAGTCCAATTGAATAAGAAAACATCATTAAATTTCCAGTTAATTCTTTTCGTTCTTCAATAATTGAAATTGGTGCACGAATCATTGGTACACTACCAAAATATCCATTTGTTAAACCAAGTGTACTTGAAAAAAAGAATTGCCAAAATAAATTTGATAAATATGCTGCATGTTTTGGTAAAATACATAAAATCATTAATGGTATATAAATTAAACGTAAAAGACTACAGATAAATAATTGCATTGGTGATAATATATGATGAGCAATAAGTGCAAACATTTTACCAAAAACATCAAATATATTAAATAAAGCCATTAAAATAATCGGTAACCATTCACGCCATTGACAATTAATCATTTCAGATTCAACACCAGGAAATAACGATAAAGTTACTACATAAGTACATGCTATAGAAAGCATATAAGGCCAAATTGCTCTTATACAATCTAATCGACGATACCATTCACCTATAGAAAAATTTTTATAAAGTCACGGAAATGCAGGAAATTGGGTGGAGTTTTCTTTGCTCATTCATTTATATATCGTCTCATAGAGCTTCACGAACTGTTCCTGAATATTTAGTTTTTATTTTGATTCGACTGCTTTTTACTTGTAAAAAGTTTCAAATATCGAATTGCGACTACGCTTGTTCTGTAAACTTCTTGAAAATTTTATACTTTGAATATGCACGAAAAATTGAGCAAACAAATGTTACTAGATTAGATCTAGAGAAAATAAAGTTTAAAAAAATTCTATTCAATATACATAGCTCGAGCACATCTCATCTATGAGTTTTCTTGTTAACCTATTTAATGTCCGCGCCAGAACTAAAGACGAGTAAATGTAATCTTAATAACTGGACAACGGTAATAACTAGCGGCCTGTAGTGTCCAGCAATCGCAGGAGGAGACATATGCATGAAAACGGTGTTCTGTTTTTAGGAAACTTTTATATGAAAAAGTCAGAAAATTTGCTAGAAACCAACAGAATTTGATTGAATATCTACGCAATCTTATTTGCTTAACATGGAAATGTGAGAAAATAATGACTTGAGACGTTCCTTGAATTCAATATATGAAGTTTCCGCTGTCTAAAGCACATGTAGAAATGAGAATTATATCAAAGCAGAACACCGTTTGCATGCATTTGTTTTTGAATGTTTCGAAAAGATTATGAGTTTTTAAAATAATTTTGTCTCATAGAATATCAGACAGAAAAACAATCGGAGGTCTTTTTTATCTCGATGGCCGAAAACCGCCGATCTTTAGCTGTTACCATTGTCGACTTGTTGAGCTTTCAACCACTCCTTTTTAATTCTGGTGTGGACACTAGTTTTTTTGTAAGGACAGATTTAAGTGAATGTCTTATCTCATTAGAATTGCCAAATTGTGAGCTACAAAAAATACTTATTGAGTTTTTTTATATTTCGTTTTATTATTGAGAAAATTGGAATTTTTTCTTAATTGATGGCAAAATAAAAAAAATGAAAAATGTACTAGTATTCGGCGACTTTTATTACTAAAATATATATGATTTGATGCAGTTTCTGAGGTTAGTTCTGAATATGCTATCTATTTCTCCTTTTAATTGAACTATTGCAATAAAAATCGATTAATACAAGTGCCTTTTTTCATTTTTTTTAAACCTTATTTTACCACCAACTGCAAGAAAAACTCTATTTTCTCAACAATAAGACAAAATTTAAAAGAGTTTAAAAAGTATTCTTGTAGATCCCGATCCGATTACTCCAATGATGTAAGATGCTTGTGTTTTCTCATGTTACAAATAAAAGATAGATTTACAAGAATACTCATAAATGAGATACGATTGAGCTATGTATGTCGAACAGGATTTTTTAAACTTTATTTGCTCTAAATTTAATCAAATAACATATTTCCACTCAGTTTTCCATCCAGATTCAAAAAAAGTAATACTTTCAAAAAGTTTGCAAAATAAACGTAATAGAAATTCGTCATTTTCTGCAGTAAAAACAAATTTATGATTATAAATACTACAGGCATATTCATGCAAGGCTTTTTACAGCTAAACAGTGATCGAATTAAGATAGCATCTATATATTCATAACCAGTTCGTCAAAAGAAAAAAAACGAAAAGCGTACGTTTTATTCGAAACCATAGTTTTAATGAATATTGATCCGATGATGAAATAATTGGTTGATGTTGATCATCAAATGTATCAACAGTTAAAATACCAAAATGAGGATCTTGAATAGCTGATGTATTTGATTCAAGATTTTCTTCCTGAAAAATATAGAGAAAAAAAATGAATAATAAATTAACTAAGAAAAACAAAACAAACATTATCATCAATTATTGTTTGTTTAGAATGAATTGATGCTGCATGACATCGAATTTGAAATTCAATTTCTTCATTTTTTTTTGCATTTTCACATTGATGAATATAATATTCAATAAATGTTGAGCGTTGAATAGTAAGATAAAATATAAAACATAATTGTACAAATAGAAGACCAAGTGAAAAAAATAATATTGTGCTTAAATGGCTATCATTTGACATAAATAATTTTGTACTAATTCGAGCACTAGAATAAAGAAACAAAATAATGTTGAAATATAAGAAAATATTAAGCTCAATTTTAATATTATTTAGAATTATTGATCTAGATTTCAATATGAATAAGAAATCTTGTCTATTATTAAAATAAGAAAATCATTCTTACCAAGATGCGAGGAGGCCAGCAAAGCCTTGAAAATAAACACTTATTAACAAAAAGGAAAAACAGCATGAATTCAAAACTTACTTTCACCTGTCATAACAGCTTGTGTATATCGAAATGGTAACATACTTGTTAGTCCATAGAAACTTGATTGTTGTACTAAAAAGAAAAAGAAAAACGTATACATGTTATTTTAAAAAAAAACACACAAAATCTTACATGTACATCCAACGGCTATTATACCTACAGACAATAGAAAAATAGAATATGACCATTGTTGTGGAAAAATTTCTAAACCAACACAAAAAATAGTAATAAACATAAGTATAATTAATGTAAGACAATAACCAAATATAACGCGACGCTTAACAGATAGAATATTTGCAATAATATTACTAAATAAAACTGTACTAAATGCCAAAATAATATAAATAAAATTCAAATGAAATATAATTGCTGTTTGTGGAAATTGTGTATGGAAATAATCAACACATGTTATATAGATTGAATAAGGCAATAAAAATCCTATACCACAACAAAATAAAGCAAAATATATGAAATGATATTTGTCAATAGGAGGTGTCAATGTCGATTGTTGTTGTGGTTGCTGTTCTGTAAATGATCGATGATCATCAAAACGTATATAACGATGATTATGCTGTTGTTGTTGCTGTTGTTCAGAGTTTCGTATGACATAGCAGTTACGTAAGAAGTTTTCATCCATCAGTAATACTTTTCTTTAATATTTGATTGAACTGAATGGCATATAGAAGAAAATTACTCTGTCTATATTATAATTTTTTTTCTTGTCGTGCTTTCTTTTTTTCTTTTTTTTTTTTCTTTAGTTAAAAGGATGTTAGCTCACACGAACGAAGAAAAAAACGGGTATGACCGGAAGCCATCACTAGCGTGATGATAGAAATGGAAAAAAACGAGAAGAAAAAAACGAGAAAAAAATAAAGACAGTAGAATAGAAAGCTTGATTTGTTTCTTTTCATGTCGATATGATTGTTATGTGTAAATTTGACGTAGTTTTATTTTTAATAAAGATGTATGATTCATGTGAGAATCATTTGATAGAAAACATATATATAAGATTATGTCTTCCTTGTTAAATCTATTAAGTAGGTATTGTTAAACAGAAAATGTTTATGTATGTTTTTTTTTCTAATCAACGAAATGTATTGCATGACATCAAATATTATTACCGTAACAAAAAATGGCCCAGAAAAAGTTTCCTTCGGTAGTTATCAATCCATTTCAGACGATAATACAATATTATGACAAACAATAATTAAGCTATTTTATATTGAAGAATTTCATGTTTATTTTGACATATGTCAATCTTCTAGAAGATATTCATTAGAGAATACTATTTGTTACAGCTAGTGCATTTTATATTCTTATCTACTTAAATTATTTGTATATTTTCAAGGAGAAATAATTTAAAACGATTTTAAATGACAAAGCGATATCAATGCAATAATTTTCTCAGAAGAAAAAATAGTTCATGTTTACGACTATAACACAAATAGGCTCAATTGGAACAATCAAATAAATATGGCAAAATTTTTATTTGATTTTATTCATAGTGCATTTTGACATAAACTATATTTAATAAGGCATCTGAAGTGATGACCATTATCTTCTCATTTACAACGAATAGTATATACTTCTATCGACTTATTTACTAAAATTTCAGTTTATTAATACTATTCAATCTATTTCCTGTATATATTTTGGCATGTTCAGCATTTATTTTAATTATGAATGGAGATTAGGTAAAGCTTAAAATAAAATATATATTTAATTGATTCTTTTTTTTTGTTTTTTACTTATTTACATTTTATGCGTATAAACTATATGAGTGACAATTATACACGATAATAAACTTGACAACTAATTTCTTTATAGTTTTAAAGAGAAAAAACAATTAATATTCTTTATTAAAAT